AAAAAAAAAAAAAAAAAAAAAAAAAAAAAAAACTAAAATAGGCAAAAATAATCATCAATTTTAAGGGATTTACATGGCAACGACAACGTTCGATTCCGACATTTTATTACGTGACCAATTAGTGTAAACTTTTTTACAATATACACAAATTCGTTAATCCTTCCCGAGACATCAAACAGTAATCCATATAAACTCATGAAGTGTCCAAATAATACTTCCAAGCCGCTATGTCCGAATTCCAACTATATTCATATTTTATGTAAAAATACAATGTTTGTATAAAAAGGGAAATCAAAGATATCAATCACATAATAGTCATTTTTAGAAGCTAGAAGTACAAGCTGACATGATAGAGACGTTAATGGACACTAACAGTAACGTTATAAAATCAACCAGGTTGTCGGCTTAATATTACATATATACAGACACTCATAACGTGAACCATGAAAACACAAATAAGAAATAATCCGACTTCAAAACGCTTCCCTTTATTGATACTGTGGAATAAACCTTAAATCTTGAACATCATTACTAAATGTAAATATTTTTTATATAATCTGTTCTGTATGCAGGTTCCGTCTTAATCGGTCTCTTTATTTTACAATTTAAAACAGGAATTTTCAATAATGTAAAACCAATTCAAAATGCGTCATCACTAGCTGAAGAACTAACGCCATTATGGAGTCATAGAATAAAAAAAAACCTCAAACAATGGCGTTTTAGTATTTAGCATGAAGAAAAAATGAAAACTAAAACTTACAAGAATAGAATACATTACCTCGGCCATCCCCTTTTTATGGAATACATATAGTATCATTTATACCAATTGTAAATTAGATCTTGTCTCTAAAAAGGTCACATCAGTGATGTTCTGCCATTCCGCAACATTGGTTCAAAGTCAACAAATTACAAACAAATAATTAACGAAAGCCATGTAATCTTTCCAATGTCATGCCTCAGTGACGCTCTTGTTGTTGACATGTAGCTTTACATTCACAGATAATTAACAATGTAATAAACTATAAGTGCGTTTCTACAACCTTCACAATGCTGATTTGTGTAATAAACTATCAGTGCGTTCCCGCAGCCTTCACATTGCTGATTTATGTAATAAACTATCAGTGCGTTCCTACAGCCTTCACACTGCTGATTTAGGTAATAAACTATCAGTGCGTTTCTAAAGCCTTCACATTGCTGATTTATGTAATAAACTATCAGTGCGTTCCCGCAGCCTTCACATTGCTGATTTATGTAATAAACTATCAGTGCGTTCCCGCAGCCTTCACATTGCCGATTTATGTAATAAACTGTCAGTGCGTTTCTACAGCCTTCATATTGCTGATTTATGTAATAAACTATCAGTGCGTTCATACAACCTTCACATTGCTGATTTATGTAATAAACTATCAGTGCGTTCCTATAGCCTTCACATTGCTGACTAATGTAATAAACTATAAGTGCGTTCCGATAGCCTTCACATTGCTGATTTATGTAATAAGCTATCAGTGCGTTCCTATAGCCTTCACATTGCTGGTTAATGTAATAAACTATAAGTGCGTTCCGATAGCCTTCACATTGCTGATTTATGTAATAAGCTATCAGTGCGTTCCTATAGCCTTCACATTGCTGGTTAATGTAATAAACTATAAGTGCGTTCCGATAGCCTTCACATTGCTGATTTATGTAATAAACTATCAGGGCGTTCCTATAGCCTTCACATTGCTGATTAATGTAATAAACTATCTGTGAGTTCCTACAGCCTTCACATTGCTCATTTATGTAATAAACTGTCAGTGAGTTCCTACAGTCTTCACATTGCTGATTTATGTAATAAATCAGCAATGTGAAGGCTGTAGGAACGCACTGACAGTTTATTACATAAATCAGCAACGTGAAGGCTATAGGAACGCACTTATAGTTTATTACATTGATCAGCAATGTGAAGGCTATAGGAACGCCCTGATAGTTTATTACATAAATCAGCAATGGGAAGGCTGTAGGAACGCACTGACAGTTTATTACATAAATCGGCAATGTGAAGGCTGCGGGAACGCACTGATAGTTTATTACATAAATCAGCAATATGAAGGCTGTAGAAACGCACTGACAGTTTATTACATAAATCGGCAATGTGAAGGCTGCGGGAACGCACTGATAGTTTATTACATAAATCAGCCTTCATATTGCTGATTTATGTAATAAACTAACAGTGCGTTCATACAACCTTCACATTGCTGATTTATGTAACAAACTATCAGTGCGTTCCTACAGCCTTCCCATTGCTGATTTATGTAATAAACTATCAGTTCGTTCCTACAACCTTCCCATTGTTGATTTATGTAATTAACTATCAGTGCGTTCCTACAGCCTTCCCATTGCTGATTTATGTAATAAACTGTCAGTGAGTTCCTACAGCCTTCACATTGCTGATTGATGTAATAAACTGTCAGTGCGTTCCTACAACCTTCACATTGCTGATTTATGTAACAAACTATCAGTGCGTTCCTACAGCCTTCCCATTGCTGATTTATGTAATAAACTGTCAGTTTGTTCCTTCAGCCTTCACATTTCTGATTTATGTAATAAACTATCAGTGCGATCAGTGCGTTCCTACAGCCTTCACACTGCTGATTTAGGTAATAAACTATCAGTGCGTTTCTAAAGCCTTCACATTGCTGAGTTATGTAATAAACTGTCAGTGCGTTTCTACAGCCTTCATATTGCTGATTTATGTAATAAACTAACAGTGCGTTCATACAACCTTCACATTGCTGATTTATGTAATAAGCTATCAGTGCGTTCCTATAGCCTTCACATTGCTGACTAATGTAATAAACTATAAGTGCGTTCCTATAGCCGTCACATTGCTGATTTATGTAATAAACTGTCAGCGCGTTCCTACAGCCTTCACATTGCTGATTAATGTAATAAACTATAAGTGCGTTACTATAGCCTTCACATTGCTGATTTATGTAATAAGCTATCAGTGCGTTCCTATAGCCTTCACATTGCTGATCAATGTAATAAACTATAAGTGCGTTCCTATAGCCGTCACATTGCTGATTTATGTAATAAACTGTCAGCGCGTTCCTACAGCCTTCACATTGCTGAGTTATGTAATAAACTGTCAGTGCGTTTCTAAAGCCTTCACATTGCTGAGTTATGTAATAAACTATCAGTTCGTTCCAACAACCTTCACATTGTTGATTTATGTAATTAACTATCTGTGAGTTCCTACAGCCTTCACATTGCTCATTTATGTAATAAACTGTCAGTGAGTTCCTACAGCCTTCACATTGCTGATTTATGTAATAAACTGTCAGTGCGTTCCTATAGCCTTCACATTGCTGATTAATGTAATAAACTATAAGTGCGTTCCTATAGCCTTCACATTGCTGATTTATGTAATAAACTGTCAGTGCGTTTCTAAAGCCTTCACATTGCTGATTTATGTAATAAACTATCAGTTCGTTCCAACAACCTTCACATTGTTGATTTATGTAATTAACTATCAGTGCGTTCCGACAGCCTTCACATTGCTGATTTATGTAATAAACTGTCAGTGCGTTTCTAAAGCCTTCACATTGCTGATTTATGTAATAAACTATCAGTGCGTTCATACAGCCTTCACATTGCTGATTTATGTAATAAACTGTCAGTGCGTTCCTACAGCCTTCACATTGCAGATTTATGTAATAAACTGTCAGAGCGTTCCTACAGCCTTCACATTGCTAGTTCGTCCTGTCCTGGTCTAGACGAGCTGATAACTTGTTATATGATCCTTACATGAACATGCAAGAACCAATTTATCCGCACGAACTGATATTGAATTCGGATTAGGCAAACCATCTGATGGAGTCAGTAGCTCCCTAACCATGGACCCATCACACGACATCTGTACAATATTTTTTGAGCTATATCCACATATGTATATATTGCCATCACTATCAAGAGCCACGCCCCGTGGTCCTTTTATGATATCTCTGTGAGCAATGGCTTTGTAACTACCACCTGTTGAAAGTCTGCATACAGCTACATCTCCTGGTGAGGATGTATTGAGAGTCACTACAATATCACGTTCTGTAGGATCATACACAAGACAGAGCGGAGATCTCTGCGGCCTATATAGCGTCTCCGTGTGTCCTGACTGTGTGACACTATACACCTGGGAAGGTTTCTTCCGTCCAGTGGTGACTGTATAAATACCATCGTGATGGATGATACCATAACATGGCTTCCCGGTAGTAATAGATGCATCACTACGCATTGAAAGCTTTGAGGACGTGATGTCCACCAACGATATCGTTTTGACTTCGGGTCTGGTGACGGCCACTGTAGTATCAGTTACCTGACACAGACCACTGGGTTCGTCAGGTAGACACAATTCGTCCAGCAGATCGCCATTGTCTGTTAATAACTTGATCTTTTTGTTGTTATTATCTGTAAGAACTATATGACCGTCTGGAATAAGTAAAATTCCGGTAACATCGCATAAAGACCTGTCAGACGGAGATCGCACATTCACTTTGGCAATTTTCTGAGCACTTCTTTCTGAAAATGGTTTCATGTTGCTTTGCTGAATTGAATCAAGCGAGACTTGTTCGACAGCAATCTTGCCTATGTCGAACTTAAAATCTTTAACATCCGTCGACTCGTATCTGATGCTAATGGGTTTGTAAGATGTTTCGACATCTTGTAAAAGAGATCCACACGATTCTACCTCAGCGTTACCTCGTAGGTAAACCGTTATTGTGTGTGTTGGATCTGCTGACCGAGATGTTGTTTCTGCCAGTTGTTGGGTAGTTGTCATAGCCATTTTCATACTTTCACATTTCTGACTAAGTTTCTCCGCTTTGGTTTTCTGTTCGTTGTAAACTTCAGTTAAGTCTTTAATCAAATCCCCTTGTATCTCGTCAAACTTTGCAATGACTTTCTGACGGAGATCCGCCAGGTCGGAGAGGATCTGGTCCCTATCGGTGGTAAAGGTTTCCACATGTTTTTTGGTATCTTTTATCCAGGTCTGTAATTTGTTAATTCCTTCCGACACACATGTTTTTAGTTCCCCGAACTTTGACCCGCCATTCAGTTTATCACAGTAGTCTGCTGCTGTAAGAACTATGTCGCATTTTCTGTGGTCTATCGCTATACAGTTACTACAGGCAAGTGTGTTGTGGTCCTCACAGTAAAGACCGGTTTTCTTCTTGTGTTTTTGGCATCTGGGATATTTTGTATCAGAAGACTCCTTCATATTTGAAACGGTCATGATGTCACATTTGACATGTATCATATCGTGGAGACCTGTTTTGCAGTCCGAACAGAAAAATGTAGTCATCTCATTGCACCAAAATTCAGCAGGTGATTTAGAGTTTCCTTTATTTGTACAAGGTTGGCAGAAATGTTCCGTTATTGTGTCCGAGAGTTCCATGATAAGGCTGTTGGTAGGGAACTGTCCGGCCCAAACATCGGCGGTCGCAGTAGGATCTACAGGTGATGTGGCTGTCCTACAGATTGGACAAGGAAAGGCATTTATAGACTTGTCCTCGGTTTCCTTGGTGATGTAGGCTGCTAGACATTCCTCACAAAAGGAGTGAAGACAAGGTAAGGACTTTGGACGCCGTAGTTTATCGAGACATATGGGACATTCTAAAGATCGAGCGTTTACAGTAGTGGCGATCATATCCGAGGACATTCCACTCTCTGATTCTCCTCCCTCCGCCATCGTGTATCGCTATCGGTGAGCCCCGTGGCAGCTGTGATGGTAACAAAAGACAAAGTGGAAGTGAAAAGACATGAGGAAGAGATGAAAACTGAATCCAAAAGTAATGATATTAACATGATATTAATGAAGTAATGAATCCCTTTTTTATAATTTTTTTTTTTAACATCTTCAATAAAATTCATCAGTTTGAAATTATGTGATATCAAGGTTTTACTTTCTACACGAACAATGTACGTATTAAACGTGTCGCAACGTTTCAAAACCGACTGGAACCTTTGTCAAGCTATGACTGAGCGATTTGTATTGTTTTACCTGTACATCGATGTGCCGAAATTGTATTTTTCTTTTAGGCCAAATAAAAATATATGCTTGTTTCCTGTTTCGGCTCCAAAAATATTATGGAAGGTAGGTAAGAAAAACATTAAAAAAAAACAACACTGATCACCTCCGTAAATGTTAAAAAATGTGGTATTGTTTTGATAAAGTATAAATGGCACCAAATCTAGAATTTTTTATTCATGTAAAATAAACAAACAAATAAAAATTCCCTGCATTTCTAGGTTTTGTGGTGAGCAGGCCCAAACGACACGTTGAAGTAAATTATTATTTGACCCCCTTAAATGTTTATGGAATAACCAACATAATTTAGTGCTGCCACCAGTGTTGCATTTCTAAATGATCCCTACAGCTGGACACTAGTTTTTAGTAACTCCACTGATGGTCACCAGTGTTACATTCTCTTTCGTATTACTGATGCTTTCGCTTCTCAATTTCCACTGCCACCAGTTCAAATTAATTGAACAACAAAATAAGTACATTTATATTTACACTATATTTACTACACATTTTTTTTAATCTGTCATAAAATATACAAGTCTTCACCATTGTGAACTCAATCTCTCCACTCCATACTTATCCCCAACAATAAACTGTAAAACTACACAGATGTACAAACCACAGCTAAAACCAGTCCACTATTATTACTAACTCCTAATTCTCACTTTAACTCTAACCTCTAGCGATCTATACCTCTTAACTCGGTCTCCCTAGCTCAACCTCCTTCCTCAAGACTCCTAAACTCAACTCCCCTACCCAACTCTCTTCTCCTTCTTCGACCCCAAGCCAGTTTGCCCCAAGCTCAACTACCTTACTATCTGTCCCGTAGCAAAATCCTGCTACATTAAAAATGTTGATACAATAAAAGTATTGATGCTGCTGAAATCCTGCTAAAATTCGACCCCTTTACGACTAGGTTAACCTAACCATAAATCCTGCTTCATTTGACTCCAGCGGTCAGCATCAGCCGGAGGCACTAACACTGACTGGACTCCCCACACCTAGACTATAGACAGTCACACTAATTTACAGATCCCAACCTATATCATAAGCACAATCATATACGGCTACTTAGCTACTATCTTCAAATAAAGCTCTGACACTTACCACGAGCCAAAGCTTATAAAACACATAGCAAATTATGTGTACAGACAAATTGGGTCTGTCGGGAAACAGGAAACACAGCTTTATCTATTTACCTCGAGCAGACTGCCATAAGATCGGCCCCCATAGAATGTGGCCCCAAACGATATGTAGATGACATCCTAGAAATAGTCAAAAAGCAAGCAGTGCAGGGTCTACCATATCACCTGAACCAAGTGGACAAAACAAATTTGATTTAATTTACCTACGAGGAGAAAAATGACGGAACCATACCGTTCTTGGACACGTTCATCGTCCGCAGAGAAAACAGCATCATCAAACTCTTAGTGTACCGCAAACCGACACACGCTGATCAATATTTGGCTTTCTATTACCACCATCCTCTACACCAAAAGCTTGGAGTCGTACGTACTAGGGCTGTTGCAATATATAGGAAAACAGATATATCGCAATACACGGGTATATCGTATCGCACTACAATATGGAGATGAAATATTGCTGTATCGCAATATCTTTCAAAAGCATATTTTTATGTATCTGCTTGGTGTTTTAACTTTGCAAATTACATTCTAACAGATATGCCAATACGCATAAAACTGGACTCAGTTTTACTAAAGGTCGTTAGTCTACACGTGGACGTAATCGTAGACGTAAGCGTGACTTACGTCTGAAACCAGTTTCACTAAAAGTCGTAACATAACGTTACGTCTGAATTTACGTGTCTACGTCTGCCCTGGTGTACACGTAAGATTAAACGTAACTTTAAACAACAACACAAGATAGCCTTTGTTTTTATTTTGCAACGGAATATTAATTGTGCGATAGATATATTCAGAGTTGACGAATTTATTAGCATGTATAGGTTCCTAAGACATATACTATTATCCATCATCGATGGTGTAGATGAATAACTTTGACGAGCTACTGCCAGAAGTCATATCACTCACACAGTTGCAGATGAGATTACAACAGCAGGCGTCCTTTAAAAACCTGCGTACACCGGATGTTAAAGGTCTCAAGTAAAAATTAAAAATTAAACAGACGACGAGTCCTTTCAATGTGCAGTATACGGATATCATATACGGGTTTATATTGCCACGATACGATATGAATAAATCTGAACACAAATACACCAATCAGACCAATGTATTAGCTATTAATTTATATATTTTCGTTGTTAACTGTAATTAATTTTCCGTGTGGGTTGACTCTGGGTCATCACTGTATATAGTAACTGATTCACAAAACACTTATTGAGATTTTGTTCCTTCCAGCAAACTGATGCTCCTTTCGAGTATATTGTCAAAAACTGCAATTCAGCTTACACAGGCTTTTTATATTCAAAGAATATTGGCAATATTCTTTTCTTAATTTTTATATTTTACGGTCAAAGGATTCAATAATACAGTATGTGTACACAGTCTTAGTCATCGATAACATGTATTTGTCGACATCTAGATGTAACGTACCGCCCCTCTATATCAGTCTATTGAATATGCTTATTCTAAGGGTGGTATAAGGTGACGTAATGTTTGACGTATACATATATGACGTCATATAATTACTTTATTAGAAAGGCATTACCCATTCTTGCACGCCTAAATCGATATTCAATTTTTCAATTTAGATATCTTCACCACTATTGCAAATTGTTACTAAAAATATTTTATAACTTGTAAAACTCATAATACATATGCACTTTTACCGAAAAGGGAGCAACAGTCAAACCTAACTTATAACTAAAATTTTTTACCATCTAACTATGTGTGTCAAATCTGCGTTTATCAGAGACCCAAGGAATGAATTCTGTTATCTGCAGTCAATAGTCATGACATCGCCGCCTGTTTTCTTCTCCATTTTGAGTATGTTACAAACACATTTAAATTAACTCGGATAATCGGATATATCATAAAACCTTTTTTCGCACCCGACAATGATATGATATATGACGTCAAAGGAACGGCTTTATTAATCTGACAGGCCTACAATGAATATATTTTATTCAATTTCAACTTGATTGTAAATTGCTATCATATATATGTTCATAAGGTTCGTGACATCTTGCAGGGAAGTAGATCTAGTGTGTGGTTCACGTCGGTGAATTACACTGCTAGTCATGGCCATTGAACACTATTGTGTATATGAGACGGTGACCAAGAAGTAACACAATGACGTCACGATACCATTTTCATCTTATTAACATTAATCTTAGTCTGTGTCGCTTATATACTACGGCTAATTCCGAAATGTACCCAACAAAGAACACGTCTTATAAAACTACAAATCGATTGTCAAACTATCTTAGTCATTCAATGCAATGTCGGAATTTGGTACTTTTTTGTTGAATACAAAAGTGAAGGAAAGAATATAGAATAAATTTAATAAGGACTTCAATAGGGGAGACCGGGGTGAGTTCGGCCCCGGGGTGAGTCTGGTCATCTCTGATATTTTTGTTCTTGAGCAAATGTTTACACCTTTGAGGATTCTAGTAGTTCTGTTGACTAGGAGGGACATTCACACGAAAAAATGGCGTAAGGAACTCAATCTTTAAATCATTAAAGGGATAGTGTTACTTTTGGGTAGAAAAAAACATGACCTCACTTCTTTCAAGTTTTGTGAACTTCCTGTAAATCGAATTGCTACTTATTGATGTCATACGTGTAACACACGAACACCTTCACATGATCGTACACATAAAATCATAGCATTGACTTTCGTATTGCAACACATGGAAAGTCGTGAAAGGCGGAGAAATCTGAAATACCATGCATTTTGACTTCCAAATGGTGAATACATTCAAAAATTTTGACGAATGCCGTATTGCCCCCGATTTGCCCCGATCTCCCCTACCAAATCACAAAAACTAACCAACAAGTTAAAAATAAACTATAGTCTCAATGAAGATTATGGTTGGTTTGAAAAAAATATTAAATCAATGTAATCCATATTATTTATGATTAAGTGTGATTGCGACGAGTTTAATACGTACATTGTTTGTGTAGAAAGTAAAACTATGATATCATTACCTTTCATTACCAACGCCACTGGCCCTAATTAGTGAGGATATACCTTCTTTCAAATCCTCACTTGAAAGTTACCACCAGTCTCTTTACTAATTTTGCATCCTCGTTATGTACATAGTTTTAATATAATACCTATAAATTAGAACAACAACAAAAATAATCTTTAAAGTGCCACCTCCTAGTCAATTGCACTCCAACCTTGGAGTTCTGATCCTTGTAAGGGAAGAAGATATGTTTGTAAACATATTTTATGAAAGTGGCGACCCTGACCTCACTCCAACCTAACTCTTATATATGATGACCTTAGTGCCCCACTCAGGCCTAACTTTATATGTATACAAGTGAGAGTGACGACGTCAAAGTGGGCCATTAGATAACAATTAATAATAGTATTAAAAATCTTTAGGTCTATTTTATTATGTGAAAAGCAGTGTTCTGATGCAATGCCGAGGGTTATCACACCTAACTACCAATATACATGTATGTTCGTGATTGTATATATCAATTTGTTAGTGACTACACGTTGTTTTGTTTTTTAAGTCTGGTGAACTTTTCTAGATTATTAAGTCTGCATATTAAAGATAATGTGAACCTGTACTAAATTTGCTGCTTTTATAATTTTCCTGATAAGAAATAAGGTTGAAGGGATAGTATTGCAAATGGGCGTTAATATGTACTTTCGGTTTCTATTAGCGAAACGTTACATCAGGTTATCATATTTTACACAAACACGCCTTCTATATATTTCTATTCCAGTACAATTCATGACTTCCATAAAGGTAAGTGTTTAGTCTGTGGATGTTTACTTACCTCTAGTACTCGTTACACACCAAATAAACAGTCTTAACTCCTGTAGCACAGGTACAACGAAAACAGGACGACAGCACATTGACGAGTGGACGACAGCAGGGCAACGTTGTCGGCAAATAAAGAGCCCGTATGATCACGAGATACTAAAAGGTCACAGGGGTCAACGTTTATAAATCTTTACCGGGTAAATAGAACAAATGACATTGTAGGGACATGCCACATTCTATATATAGAACTGTTATGGTGGCTGATTTGTGTCACCTTTTTGTTTCGTCTTTTTGTCCCAAAAAGACCAGATTTAGTACTCCTTAATTCTCGTTAATTCCTCTCTCTTCGCCCCGAAAACACGAAATTTCATCGTTTGTTTTACCTCGTTCGTTCAAAAAGACAAAACATCACTTAAAATAAACGGCTTTACTTAACCATCACGATTATCATATCAATATAAACCCGTACAATGGTAAAAGAATCACTCAACGAGAACAAAGCGTTAAACAAGCCTAAACGTTACTCCTGAGTTATCATAGTTTAAACCACACTCTCTCATATAATAAGGAACAATTTATGAAACAAGTTAAGTCTACAATCAATTCTGCGGTTCATAAAAAATGAAAAACTGTTTTCAAACAAAGTTAGCCAAATAAAACAAGATGTGAACCTTATATATTGGCATTAAGTTTTGACTTGGGGAGATTAATGGCTAAATTTCGAATAAGCCATCATAACTTGGAGATTGAAGCCGGTTGGAATTAAAAGATTTCCAGAAGCAACAGAAAATGCAAATATCGTCATGTTCCGGACGATGAAAAACATGTACATTTTTCGTTGTTTATCTAATTCTAATCTGAGAAACAATTTCTTTCTCAATAGCTATACAAAATACTAATGGTCTCCGTTATCTGAGGAAGAACGCATAGACAATACAATATATTAAACTCTAACGATCTCGGTGTTACTACGGATACTAGCAACTTTATTAACTAGTCGTTTGAAATGCTTTATAATGATGCACCAGATATTAGATAGATTAATATAATATGTCTGTATCATATTGACACTTGCATTCATGGTAGATATATCTATATATTATTATCTGTGTTGTCTTTAAACAACAATAAGGTGTTTTTCCCATATCGGTCGCATATACTCTCGTGAACTTGAAATCAAGGACACAACTCACTCTTCGACTTCAGCTGCTTTCCCTTTCTTGAAAGCTAACTTACAACTTACAACAAAAGGCTTCCAAAGATGCATGTTGATGCACACTGAGTAAAAGTGTTATGGTCGCCATCATAATCTTATTGGAAATATGCTATGTCTTTGTGTGATATGAAGATCGATATTTCTTATTATGCTCCTAAGTGTGCCTTCTGGTTGTGTGGTCAATACATACCTGAGTTCTCTATGTGGGGAAGTGACAATAGACATAGATTTACTTGGCGGGTGTCGTCAATAAAGCAGAAGACGCTTACCCTTCCGGAACACCTGGTCTTATCATCCTTGTACTTTGTCAATGGTCTCGATGTAAATCTTTCCTTTGTTCATATTTTGCCCTAGTATAATTGAGTTCCTTAGAGAACCCACATTTTGAGATATACTTTACACTTACACCCCAGCACCACCACCACCGCCACCAAAGGAAAGATATTAAATGCAACCTTAACAATTATTTGTTAAAGTAACTGACGAATGGTAAATGACAAAAATGGTCACTCCTTGTGGCAATAGGTTTTTAAAATAATATTGGCAATGTTTCAAAATGGAGAGACTGAAAAATCCACAAGGATACTATTGTTCGGTCGTCATTCAAGATAATACAAGATTTGAAAGTCAAGACGATGAGTCCGTGAGGTATATTCATGTCCTGGAAGGTAAGTTAGATACTTCTGGAAATACTTGTTCTTCAGGAAGTAAGCGGACCAGTGAATTATCTAATTATGGCCTTCATTAGTCTTTGTTTAAACACAACAATAGATAGGTAACAAGTGACAGATGTAAGTAATACATATGCAGTTATCATCAGTGAGTGTATCTAACTAACATTGAAGGATGAGGTAATTCTACCTTCTTCAACAAACCTTAACGTTAAATTAAAGGTTAGGATAAGTCTACATTTTTCAACAATTCTTATATGTAACGTTAGTGCCGGCAAATGCGTCACACTAAGGGTTTCAGTTAACAATTCGTCCAACTACACATGTACCAAAATGCCGACGAGCACCAGTATAAAACAAGATTTAACTGAAATTCCTATAAATAAACATTGTTGTACAAACGCCTGAATGACGTCACGCAGCGATATTTGTGACGTCATCAGGCCAGGCCTTCCGTTAATTTGCTTAAAGGTACAGGCAGAGTCGCCATCTTCAAACATTTCACTGCAAGTAATGTAAGTGTTTAAATGAAATTTTTGGTATGTTTATGTTACACGAGTAGTACTGATACGGACAGCTCCAAATGTGTGCGTGTAACAATGATTAACATTGAAATAAATGACGTTTCTTAGGTGTGATACTTAATTTTCGGTAACTGCAAGAAACTGGTTAATGCTGTTTGAGTTAGATGGCTGGGATCGGCTGAAATGAGGTGAATTCACATGCATCGCAATGAAGACTGAATCCTGAACAAAAATATAAACTACCAAATCGGTGCCCAAATTTGTTTTATTATCGGGTTCGGATCGTCTTCCCCCCCCCCNCACACGTATATCTCCGATCGTCATGCACGTTAACGAAAACATCTGACAAATTAAAAAGATTTTTTTTGGACTTGAAAACATATTTAAGAGAGACTGCCCCAAGTGTTGTAAATGTACTTACTATTTTTTCATGTAAAAATCAGTCTTTGGTAACGACGCTAGCTAGTTGTCGGTCTTGTACGAATTTTTACAAATTAAGAAATCCAAGAGAGAAGAAGTTTATTCTCCGTCATGTATCAGAGGAGTATATCTTTAAGGAACTTTGTAAACTAAATCAGAGTAAAAGTACAGGACTGGATGAAATCCCAGCCAAGTTTTTGAAAGATGGCGCTGAAGTCTTGAAAATTCCTATCACGTTTTTAATTAACATGTCAATTATAGAAGGGAGAGTTCCAGATGATATGAAATCTGCCCGCGTCAAACCTCTTTATGAAAAAGGTAGTAAGTAGTCTGGATACTGGTAATTACAGACCAGTAAGTATATTGAGCATTGTCTCTAAATTATTGGAACGAACGGTGTATTCGCAGATGGAAGCATTTCTGATAAAAAAAACAACAACATGCTTTATGAATATCAATCAGGGTTTAGGAAGGCATACTCCACTGATACCTGTCTTATACATTTGCTAGACCACATTAAATGTAATACTAGTAAAGGTCTATACACTGGCATGTTGCTACTAGACCTACGCAAAGCTTTTGACACGGTTGACCATGAAATTCTGTGTGGCAAGTTGAAAATGATGGGTGTGACATCTGTAAATTGGTTTAGATCATATCTGAGTAACAGACATCAGACAGTCAAAATTAACGATATCTACTCGGACCCAGCTACTATTACGTGTGGGGTACCACAAGGTAGTATTTTAGGCCCTCTTTTATTCTTATGCTATGTCAACGATATGGCAATCAGCATTGATGGAGAATGCAAATTACTATTATATGCTGATGACAGTGTTATCCTTTTCGCACATAAAAGCCCAGAAATAATTTCCACGAAACTTGGTGCTGTACTTGAATCATGTGCAGAGTGGTTATTTGATAATAAGCTTTCTTTGCATTTAGGTAAAACAGAGAGCATGCTATTTGGAACGAAAAAAAAATTAAATCAAATTGATCATTTTGAAATTGTCGCAAACAATCATACCATCAAATCAACTAAATCTGTGAAATATCTTGGAGCTAATATAGATTGTTGTATGTCTGGCGAAGAAATAGTAGAAAACATCGTGAGGAAAGTAAATTCTAGACTGAAATTTTTATACAGACAAAGTAAATGTCTAACTACAAAAACCAGACAAAGTTTATGTTCTGCACTAATACAGTGTCACCTAGATTATGCATGCTCCGCGTGGTACTCAGGATTGAACAAGAAAATGAAGAACAAATTACAGGTTTTACAAAATAAAGTTGTCAGATTTATTAGCCAATTAGAACCCAGAACGAGTATCACTCCCACTGAACTGTCAAAGCTCAATATGTTAAATATAGAATATAGAGTCAAACAATTAAGACTCAATCATGTGCACAAGATTTTTTATGGAAAATGTCCATCCTACTTAAACCTAAACTTCATAAAAGTGTCAGGTGTTCATCAGCATAACACACGATCATGTCTTTTTAATTTTGTTGTTCCACCATGTAAAGGGAAAGATACTTGTACTTTTTATTTTAACGGGATCCATGACTGGAATAGTATGCCTGACAAAATCAAGGGTATAAAATCCATATATGCAGTGAAGAAACATCTCGCTTTTAAATTCCAAAATTCATGCTAATAACACAATTATATGTGATTGCGGTGGCACAAAACAAGTAGACTTTGCTGGTAGGGGGATCCCCAACCCTAAGAAAACAAACTTTGTGTCACTGCAATCCACGTGCTGACGACATCTGTACCGTATTATTATTATTTTATTTTTTTTAAATATAAATAGTTAGAAAGTCACGTTACATATTTTAAGTTGGGCTAACTATTTAAACCTGAACATATATATATGTGGTTTTTTTAAGAGTATATAGTCATTACGGAATTACTATAGGTACTGACAATAAAGTTAATATGTTGTCATTCATTCCCTCCTGCAAAAATCTTTCCCCTCGATCAATATAACATGGACCCCATTGGAAATAAGCTTTCGAGCTTTCATGGGCTATCCTCAGGTTTATAGATCAATGTTTGTGTTGTATTAATTGTATAAATATAATTACCTATATCTTAAAATCAGTTATGAATTTTAGTTTCATATATAATATAATATTTTAAGATAATACAATATTTTATTACTGACGATAATTTAATGCATGTAGGTTCATTAATATTTGAGCGTCCGGAGAGCTTGTAGGAAGGGGATGCCCTAATCACCTGCTCCTTGGACTGCCCCAAAAACCTGTGATATTCTGTTTAAATTTTTTAGTAATATATATGTATGTTGTACTGTAATATGTATGTCAACTGTCATGTTACATGTGATGTCTATGATCTATTTCCTGAAATAAACATTATTATTATTATGTCTCTACGTACAATCATCATGCAGTTATACAGAAGAACTTTGAGGCTGACAACATATTCTTTTTCCGATATAAATCTAGGAAATGTCTAGATGATATTTTAATTAAAGTGTTGTAAGATGGCTGAATGTTAGACTCAAACACTGCTTTTTAAAAGATACTGGTCGATTGTTTTCTAAAAAAACACTACATGAAAATGGAAAATGAGTCAATACATGGTATTTACCAAAGTACGCTTGTAGAAAAATAGTTTACTTGCATTGACGGCTCAATCGACCATAAAACTGCAATTACCGTTGAGATATCGACATTTTCAATTTGTATGTAATGCATTTACACTAAATCACAACCAATATAGGCCTCAGATCAATGAGTTAAGTTGACGAGATGTGCGTCGCACAGACCAAATTTTTAAGTTTCGTTGTGTTACAAGATATTTCATAACTTTTTAATTAATAATTTAACTTTTCCCCCTTATACCTCTTCTTGTCAAAATGTTTGAAGTCTTAAACTGTGTGAAAGACTATGGTGACGTTAATCACAGTTTATGTATTATGACATTTTCGGCACAGGGTGGCGAATTAGGGTGCATGGCGAATTTGCCTGCACTCACGTGATACACAGCTTCGTAGTAACACAAAAAGAGAGGTTGTCTAAACATTGTATACTGTTTGTCCTCGTGGTAGACTGATTGTCCGATGTAATACATATGTGAGGTGCTTTAGGTCTAAGGGGATCATTAACGTAAATCGTTGATATATCGTCACGATTCGTTAATAAAAGCATAATTGTACATAATTATTAAAACCAGTGTCAGCACCGATCATTGTCACAGTCTTTATTAAAATCAGTGTCAGCATCTATCATTGCCAGTCTTTATTAAAACCAGTGTCAGCAACGATCATTGTCACAGTCTTTATAAAAACCAGTGTCATCACCGATCATTCTCACAGTCTTTATTAAAACCAATGTCAGCACCGATAATTGCCAACAGTCTTTACTAAAACCAGTGTCAGCACCGATTATTGTCACAGTCTTTATTCAAACCAATGTCAGCACCGATAATTGCCACAGTCTTTATTTAAACCAGTCTCAGCACCGATCATTGTCAGCCTTTATTTAAACCAGTGTCAGCACCGATTATTGTCAGTCTTATAAAAACCAGTGCCAGCACCAATCATTGCCAGTCTTTATTAAAACCGATGTCAGCATCGACCATTGTCACAGTCTTATCAAAACCAGTGTCATCACCGAGCATTGCCATAGTCTGTATTAAAACCAGTGTCAGCACCGATCATTGCTACAGTCTTCATTTAAGGTCAGCACCGATTAATGCCAGTCTTGATTACAACCGGTGTAACCACTCAAGGTTGTCGCAATCTTGTAAATGGATTTCTTTTCTTGCACGGTTATCAAGAAATATAAGCTTAAGTTAACAATACCTGCCTGTGAACTGATCATATAGGGTTCAAACACACCTTTACCCTTTCGCTGTAATCTTCATAGCTTGAATTCCGGCTATTTTAGGTATGGTTTTTTTATTCTATTTTCATTTAGAACTGATCAGTTTTACATGAACGAAATGGCCATGTTGTACAGGAAAACGGTTTTTTTTAGCTTTCAACGTCTACAATGTTTTTCAAATAAGTGTTTCTCTTTTCGTATCTCTAGTGATTATTTAGGTCTACATGGTGATGATACAGATGAAGGTAGCAACAACATCACAGATGTGTTGCATAAAAAGTTAACATTATATACAAGTTGGTAAATCCGTCCTGAGACACGAAATGGTAATCCATGTATAATTCATCTAGGGTCCATAGTACATAACTGCCAAGCCGCTGTGTCCAAATTCCAACTATATTTTATGTAAAACAATATGTATGTATAAGAGGGAAATCAAAGATATCTAATTCATATTAGTCATTTTTCAATGTGCTACAAATACAAATTGACATGAGAGATAGTAGCGAGTCCGAGTCCGATATCCCGTGTGGTAATGCCGTGACATTTTAATGGACATCAGTATTAACATTCAACAAGAGGTCCAGAGGGCTTGTATCGCTCACCTGTTTCTTTTGTTACATGAAACTGACATATAACACAAAACAAATTAACATCTCTTAAACGGTTCTCAAGATATTGTTGTTTGAAGTTTGATATTTTAATTGTAAAGCTTTAACCCACGTTGACCTTTGACTCCGGCTAGCACTTAAAGTTGACCTTTGACCTCAATAAAGAAAACGATTCACACAGCTAGTCTACATCACATACCCAAGTACCATGACTGTAGACCAAATGGTTATCAAGATATTGTTGTTTAAAGGTTTGAACATATTTGACCCCTGTGACCTTATAAGTAGGTCAATGTCATTTTAATGAGGAAACTTTATAGCACCCCATCCCAGGTACCAACTGGCCAAATATCATGACCCTGTGCCTTATGGAAGATTGTTAAAGCGCTTAACCCATGTTGACCTTTGACACCTGACTAGCACGTAAAGTATAATGACTCTAGTCAAAATAGTTCTTAGGATATTGTGTAATTTTTTTAACATATTTGACCCTGTGACCATGAAAGTAGATCAAGGTAATTTTAATGAGGAAACTTTATAGCACTCCATCCCAGGTACCAACTAGCCAAATATAATGACCCTAGGTCCTCCAGTTTTTAAGAAGAAGTCGTTCAAAAGAAAAAGTTGCCGGACGGACGACGGACGCCGCAGTACGGCATAAGCTCACATAGCCCTTCGAGCCAGGTGAGTTACAAATCAACCAGGGTGTCAGCTTGATATTACATATATACATGATATGAAGTGACAGGATTCATGTTGATATATATAACGTGAATTGCAAAAAAAACCAAATAAGAAACAATCCGGCTACAAAACGCTTTCTTCATTGATACTGTAGAATAGACTTCATATCTTAAACATTAAAGTTCTAATTATAAATATTTCTTAAATAATTTATTCTTTATGCTAGTTTCATCTGAATCTGTCTCTTTATTTCACATTTCAAACAGGAATTTTCAATAATGTAATACCAGTTTCAAATGTGTAACACCAGGTAATTTTTCAAATATCATGCCAAAGTGACGCTCTTGTTGTTGACATGTAGCTTTACATCCACAGATAATTTACAATGTAATGTAGTTTGCTAAAACTTTGAATATTGGTTATCCTTTAATCGATATATATCGTCTCAATGTAAACCAGATATCAAGCAGATTTATGTAATAACCTATCAGTTCGTTCCTAGATAAAGTGTCAGTGCGTTCCTACAGCCTTCACATTGCTGATTCCTACAGCCTTCACATTAATATTGCTGATTATTCAATAAACTATCAGTGCGTTCCTACAGCCTTCACATTGCTGATTTATGTAATAAACTGTCAGTGCGTTCCTACAGCCTTTACATTGCTGATTTATGTAATAAACTATCAGTGTGTTCCTACAGCCTTCACATTGCTGATTTATGTAATAAACTATTAGTGCGTTCCTACAACCTTCACATTGCTGTTTATGTAATAAACTATCAGTGTGTTCCTACAGCCTTCACAGTGCAGATTTATGTAATAAACTATCAGTGCGTTCCTACAGCCTTCACAATGCTGGTCCGTCCTCTCCTGATCTAGACAAGCTGATAACTTGTTATATGATCATTACTTGAACATGCAAGAAAAAGTTTATCCGCACGAACTGATATTAAAATCGGATAGCACAAACCATCTGATGGAGTCAGTAGCTCCCTAACCATGGACCCATCACACAACATCTGTACAATAATTTTTGAGCTATATCCACATATGTATATATTGCCATCACTATCAAGAGCCACGCCCCGTGGTCCTTTTATGATATCTCTGTGAGCAATGGCTTTGTAACTACCACCTGTTGAAAGTCTGCATACAGCTACATCTCCTGGTGAGGATGTATTGAGAGTCACTACAATATCACGTTCTGTAGGATCATATACAAGACAGAGCGGAGATCTCTGCGGCCTATGTAGCGTCTCCACGTGCCCTGACTGTGTGACTCTATACACCTCGGAAGGTTTATCGTATCTAGTGGTGACTGTATAAATACCATCGTGATAGGTGATACCATAACATGGCTTCCCGGTAGTAATGGATGCATCACTCCGCATTAAAAGCTTTGAGGACGTGATGTCCACCAACGATATCGTTTTACCTTTGGGTCTGGTGACTGCCACTGTAGTATCAGTAACCTGACACAGACCACTTGGTGCGTCAGGTAGACACAATTCGTCCAGCAGATCGCCATTGCCTGTTAATAACTTGATCTTTTTGTTGTTATTATCTGTAAGAACTATAAGACCGTCTGGAAGAAGTAAAATTCCGGTAACATTGCATAATGACCTGTCTGACGGAGATCGCACATTTACGTCGGCAATTTTCTGAGCACTTCTTTCCGAAAATGGTTTCATGTTGCATTGCCGAATTGACCCAGCGTGACTTGTACGACAACAATGTTTCCTATATCGAACTTTAAATCTTTAACATCCGTCGACTCGTATTTGATGCTAATGGGTTCGTAAGATGTTTCGACATCTTGTAAAAGAGATCCACACGATTCTACCTCAGCTTTACCTCGTAGGTAAACCGTTATTTTGCGTGTTGGATCTGCTGACCGAGATGTTGTTTCTGCCAATTGTTGGGTAGTTGTCATAGACATTTTCATACTTTCACACCTCTGACTAAGTTTCTCCGCTTTGGTTTTCTGTTCGTTGTAAACTTCAGTTAAGTCTTTAATCAAATCACCTTGTATCTCGTCAAACTTTGCAATGACTTTCTGACGGAGATCCGCCAGGTCGGAGAGTATCTGGTCCCTATCGGTGGTAATGGTTTCCACATGTTTTTTGGTATCTTTTATCCAGGTCTGTAATTTGCTAATTCCTTCTGACACACATGTTTTCAGTTCTCCGAACTTTGACCCGTCATTCAGTTTATCACAGTAGTCTGCTGCTGTAAGAACTATATCGCATTTTCTGTGGTCTATCACTATACACTTACTACAAGCAAGTGTGTTGTGGTCCTCACAGTAAAGATCGGTCTTCTTCTGGTGTTTTTGGCATCTGGGATATTTTGTTGCGGTATACTCCTTCATATTTGAAACGGTCATGATGTCACATTTGACATGTATGATATCGTGGAGACTTGTTTTGCAGTCCGAACAGAAAAATGTAGTCATCTCATTGCACCAAAATTCAGCGCGTGATTTAGAGTTTCCTTTATTTTTACAAGGTTGGCAAGAATGTTCCTTTTTCGTTTCCGACAGCTCCATGATCAGGCTGTTGGTAGGGAACTGACCGGCCCAAACATCGGCCGCCTCAGTAGGATCTACAGGTGATATGGCTGTTCTACAGATCGGACAGGGAAAGACATTTATAGACTTGTCCTCGGTTTCCTTGTTGATGTAGGCCGCTAGACATTCCTCACAAAAGGAGTGAAGGCAAGGTAAGGACTTTGGACCCCGTAGTTTGTCGAGACATATGGGACATTCTAAAGATCGCGCGTTTACAGTAGTGGCGATCATCTCTGAGGACATTCCACTCTCTGACTCTCCTCCCTCCGCCATTGTGTATCGCTCTCGTGAGCCCCTTGGCAGCTGTGATGGTAACAAAAGACAAAGTGGAAGTGAAAAGACATGAAAAAGTGATGAAAACTTAATTTGTTTTTGTTTTTTAACATCTTCAATACAATTCATCAGTTTGGAAATATGTAACATCAAAGTTTTACTTTCTACACAAACAATGTACGTATTAAACGTGTCGCAACGTTTCAAGATCGACTGGTCCCTTTGTCAAGCTATGACTGAGCGATTTGTATTTTTTTACCTGTATAACGATGTGACGAATTTGCATTTTTCTTTTTTAATATGTCACTCGACCCGGAACGTTTCGCTTATCGATAGGGATCATATACAAACTGCATCCAAATCCATAAACCAGGCTACCCGTTGCGTCCTATAGTGGACTACACTTGGTCGATTGGTTACAATCTGTCACGATACCTCGCAGATATACTGTCACCATTGGTAGGTACAACACAACACACCATGTCAAGAATTCCAAACATTTAACATCTCACTTGGAAAATGTCATTCTTGAAGAACAGGAAATTTTCAACTCCCACGATGTGGTTTCACTGTTCACCAACACACCAGTACAAGAAGCCATCAATATCATCAGGGAGAGATTAACAGCAGACTAGACACTCTAGAAGAGAACAAACCTATCAGTATACAACATCATCGAACTACTTACATATGTCATGGACACGACATGCTTCGTGTTCAGATGTCAGGTGTACACACAGAAATACGGTACCGCTAAGGGAAGTCCTGTGTCTTCCATAGTCGCGAATCTATTCATGGAACACCTCGAGCAGACCGCCATTAGATCGGCCCCCATGGAATGTGGCCCCAAACTTTGGAAAGGATGTGTAGATGCCATCCTAGTAATATTCAAAAAGCAAGCAGTGCATGGTCTAACATATCACCTAAACCATGTGGTCAAAACAAATTTAATTAAATTTACCTACGAGGAGAAAAAGAACGGAACCATACCATTCTTGGATATGTTCATCGTCCGCAAAGATAACGGCATCTTCAAACTATTAGTGTACCGCCAACCGACACACACTGATCAATATTTGGCTTTCAATTCCCATCAGCCACTACACCAAAAGCTTGGAGTCGTACGTAACTCCTTGATAGACGCAACAACATCATCACAGAGCAGGACAATAGACACAGGGAAGGCACTCAGCCGTTGTGGCTACACCGACTGGTCAATTAACAAATTTTAAAAAGTTGTAAAAAAGACAGAAATTAGAAAACCGAGACAGGAGAAAAGAAATGAGAGCCAAACCAAGCTGTGAGTCATCTAGATCTGTATGCCCTGATACAAACATCACAGGGGAGGGGGGGCTACATCAACACCATAAAACCTATCTGATGATAGACGAAACGTCCCGGGTCGAGTGACATAATAAAAAACAAACAATTTCGTCCCATCGTTGTACGGATATCAGTTTACACAACTATCACTCAGTCATAGCTTGAAAAAGGGACCAGTCAGTCTTGAAACGTTGCGAGTATAATAGGTACATTGTTTGTGTAAAAGTAAAACTATGATGTGTTTTAAACATATTTTATGAAAGTTGCGACCCTGACCTCAGTCCACCCTACCTTGGTGCCCCACTCGGCCCTAACTTTATTTTTATACAAGTGAGAGTGACGACGTCGATTTGGGCCATTAGATAATAATTAATGACAGTATTAAAATTCATTAGGTCTATTTTATTATGTGAAAAGCAGTGTTCTGGTGCAAAGCCGAGGGTTATCACACCTAACTACCTATATTGTTAGTGGTCACACGTTTTTTTTTAAGTCTGGTGAACTTTTCTAGATGATAAAGTCTGCATGTTAAAGATAATGTGAACCTGTAGTAAATCTGCTTCTTTTTACAATTTTCCTGATAAGAAATAGTGTTGGGGGGATAATATTGCAAATGGGCGTTAATATGTACTTTCGGTTTCTATTAGCGTAACTTTACATCAGGTTATCATACTTTACACAAACACGTCTTCTATATATTTCTATTCGCCAGTACAATTAATGACTTCCATAAAGGTAAGCGTTTAGTCTGTGGATGTTTACTTACCTCTAGTACTCGTTACACAACAAATAACCAGTCTTAACTCCTGTAGCACAGGTACAACACAGACATGACGACAGTAGGCCTAGTTCAACGACGTTGTCGGCAAATAAAGAGCCCGTATGTTCCCGAGATACTAAAAGGTCAAATAGAACAAATGAAATTCTAGGGGCGTGCCAAATTCTATATATAGAACTGTTATGGTTGCTGATTTCGTCCCAAAGAGATCATATTTAGTACTCCTAAATTCTCGTTAATTCCTCTCTCTTTGACCCGAAAAGTCGAATTTCATCGTTTGTTTTACCTCGTCCGTTCAAAAAAAGACAAAAAATCCCTGAAAATAATCGGCTTCACTCAATCAAGGATCACGATTATCATATTAATATAAATCCGTACAACGGTAAAAGAATCACCCAAAGAGAACAAAGCGTTAAACAAGCATAAACGTTACTCCTGATTTACCTATATTGGAACTTCGGTAAATAATCATAGTTTAAACCACGCTCTCTCATATAGTAAGGGACACACGCGTACGTTGAAACAAGTTTTAAGGCTAGCTACAATCAGTTCTGTGGATTAATAGGAAATCGAAAAACTGTTTTAAAACAAAGCTACCTAGACACTTAAAACTCGATGTAAACCATATCTATCGGCACGGACTTAATAGCTTATCTAATTCCGTGCTAATGGCAATAATATTTTACTTAAAATAAATGGCTGAATTTCGAATCAGCAATCACAACTTGGAATTTTAACCCTAACGATCTCGGTGTTAGAAAGGATGCTGAGCCACTTCATAATCAAGTCATTTGAAATAAGGAAGGTGGACTTGCTTGCTTCATAAGGATTCACCAGATATCAAATAGATTCAGTATATCATGTCTGTATCGTATTGAGACTGACATGATAGATATATTCTACATATTGTTATAAATTGTATTATTTTTTAACAATATTTTGTTGCCAACATCAATCGTAATATACCCTCTTAAACTTAAAAACAAGGACACACAACAATACAACCAATTCTGTGGATTAATAAGAAATCGAAAAACTTCTACTTCAGCCGCTTTCCCTTTCTTGTTAGTAACATCTGCGCTCCCCTACCTACGAGTTTACATATTGCAGTTCGGTATTAGGGAGCATGCTCCGAATCGACTGCTGACGTACAACCTTACAACTGGTCTCCAAAGATGCATGTCGATGAAGACAAGGGGCAGGTTTTATACTCGCCATTAAGATCGCATTGGGACGGAATATGAAGTATTTCTTTGTGTGATATGAAAGTATTTTTTTTATTAATGTCACCACCTAAGTTCTCGCTAAAAAGACGTAGCATTACTTGGATTCGACCTATATTTCATTGCGGCTGTCGCAGAAGACGCTTACCCTTCCGGAGCACTTTGTCTTGTTATTGACGTACTTTTACAATACACGGTTTCCAAAGATGCAGGTTGATGAAGACTATGGACAAATTGTATGGTCGCCATCATGATCTTATAGGAAAATATGCTATTTCTTTGTATGATATTAAGGTCCATGTATTTATATTATGCCTCTTACTTTGCCTTGTGGTATTATTAACACTACCCGAGTTCTCTATGTGAGGACGGGACAATAGACCCAATAAGCATAAGACGCTTGCCCTTCCGGAACACCTGATCTTAGTGTAAATCTTTTCTTTGTTTATCTATTTTTTTATAAAAAAAATAAAATAAAAAAAAATAAAAATATTTTTTTTCACTGCACTATATAGTCTTACATATTTGTTTTCATATTTTGGTCAAGTTTTAACCATTTTGATTCGAATTATGGTACTTTTTTGTCGTTTTTGTACAGTATCGATTGTACAAATTGCAAAGAAAGCTTTTTTTTGTTCAAAGTATTTGCTGAATCGATATTCGAATAGTTACTAGTATCTGCATGAGCACCATCCACTTATACACAAAGACATATCTGTCGAGTACTTCCTAAGGCCATCTTTTTTTCATCATCACTCTCAAAATAAAACATTCATAACTAAGGACCAAGGGAACCTACACAGAAAATAGCGATAACGAACATTCACTGTCAAAATCCAAGGTGGCCATTTTGTTCATCCGAGCAGTCTCAAAATTAAACATCAACAAGAGGCCCAGAGGGCCTGTATCGCTCACCTGGATATCTAAGCAATCACGGCAAAATATTCTCCAAATGAGATCCAAGGGAATATGCCAGACCCCAAGGCCAATCCTTGTAGCATATCTGTATTAATTTGTACATGCCCAGCAATTTTATGTATGGTTATGGGGTGGGAATCTCAACTGTTTCCAAGCTGTGGCTCAGAAACTAGGTCCATAGGTTGTGGCCAGACCCCAGGATCAATTCTAATATCATGACTGCATTCGTCTCTTTTTGCCCAGCATTTGTATATATAGTTTTGGGGAGAGGATCTCAACCGTTTTAAAGTTATGACCATGGGACTATGTCTCCAAGGGTGGGGCCAGACCCTAGGGCCATCCTGGAAACAACTGTGCATTCTTCTCTTTATACTCAGCAATTGTATATATGGTTATACGGTGGGGATCTTAACCATTTCCAAGTAATAAACTTTTTTTGGCCCCACCCCTTAGCCCGGGGGGTCAGCCACAAAATTTGTAAAATTTTGAATCCCTACCTTCCATGAATGCTTCAAACCAAATATGGTAGATATCCATGGCACAGTTCTACAGAAGTCGTTTATAGCAATATAGCCAAATTGCCCCCTTTTGGCCCCGCCCCTCAGCCCCCTGGGGGGTCAGCTCCACATTTGTACAATTTTGAATCCCCACCACCTAGGGATACTTCCAGTCAAATATGGTTGATATCCATCTCTTAGTTCTACAGAAGAAGTCGCTTAAAGCAATATAGCCAAATTGCCAACTTTTGGCCCCGCCCCTCAACCCCTGGGGGGTCAGCCCCACCATTTGTACAATTTTTCATCCCCACCACCTAGGGATGCTTCCAGTGAAATATTGTTGAGTTCTAGAGAAGAAGTCGCTTAAAGAAAAATAGCCAAATTGCCACCTTTTGGCCCCGCCCCTCAGCCCCCTGGGGGGGCAGCCCCACCATTTGTACAATTTTTAATCTCCACCACCTAGGGATGCTTCCAGTGAAATATTGTTGAGTTCCAGAGAAGAAGTCGCTTAAAGCAATATAGCCAAATGCCCCCTTTTGGCCCCGCCCCTCAGCCCCCTGGTGGGTCAGCCCTACCATTTGTACAGTTTTAAATCCCCACCACCTAGGGATGCTACCAGTCAAATATGGTTGATATCCATTTCTTAGTTCCAGAGAAGAAGTCGCTTAAAGCAATATAGCCAAAATGCCCCCTTTTGGCCCCACCCCTCAGCCCCCTGGGGGGTCAGCCCCACCATTTGTTCAATTTTGAATCCCCACCACCTAAGGATGCTTTCAGTCAAATTTAGTCAAATTCCAATCAGTGGTTAAGAAGAAGAAGTCGTTCAAAGAAGTTGGTGACGTACAGACGACGGACGACGGACGCCACAGTATCGCATAAACAAGAGGCCCAGAGGGCCTGTATCGCTCACCTGAGTATGTTTAAAATAATTGGTATGAAGTAGGTGCTGTAAGTACATATAAAATTTCAGAAAGATCCATCCAGTACTTGAGACCCAAAGATGCTCCAGACTAAATAAGGATAAAAACCCATAATCCTGATGGTCGAAGAAGGATTTTAAAGGTTTTACCTCTATTTCTCCTATGTGGCCCCGCTCTTCTGCCCCTTGGGAGACCACACCCACTGCTTATACAAAATTGAGTCCCCTTGGCCCATTGATGCTCCAGACTAAATTAGGCTAAAATCCCTTAATCTTTATGGTAGAAGAAGGATTTTAAAGGTTTTACCTCTATTTCCCCTATTGGGCCCCGCCTCTCTACCTCCAGAGGGGCCAGACCCACGGTTTATACAAAATTGGTTCCCCTTCACCCAAGGATGCTTCAGAACAAATATGGAACAAATCCTTTTATTCCTACAGAAGAAGAAAGATTTTAAAGAATAATTTGCTATGTTTCCCCTATTAGGCCCCGTCCCTCAGGACCCTGGGGGGCCACACCCACGGTTTATACAAAATTGGTTCCCCTTCACCCAAGGTTGCTTCAGACCAAATATGGAACAAATCCTTTCATTCCTACAGAAGAAGAAGGATTTTAAAGAATTTGCTATATTTCCCCGAATTGGGCCCCGCCCCTCGGTCCCCAGGGGGGCCACACCCACGATTTATACAAAATTGGTTCCCCTTCACCCAAGAATGCGTCAGACCAAATATGGAACAAATCCTTTCATTCCTACAGAAGAAGAAGGATTTTAAAGAATTTGCTATTTTTCCCCTATTGGGCCCCGCCCCTCGGTCCCCAGGGGGGCCAGACCCACCATTTATACAACATTTGTTCCCCTTCCCCCAAGGATGCTTTTGACCAAATTTGGTCAAAATCTGCTCAGTTGTTCATGACAAGTAACGTTTTAAAGGAAAAGTTGACGGATGGACGGATGACGGACGCTGCAGTATGGCATAAGCTCACCATGGTCCTTTGGACCAGGTGAGCTAAAAAGGACCAAGGAGAACCTACATATCAAATTGAAGAAAGATCATCCCTCCTGTACTTTCTGAGAAATAGCGTTAACAAGAATTAATTGTTTAAGGACGGACAGATGGATGACAGACCATGAACGACAGGCGATTTGAATAGCCCACAATATTAAATTCAACCTTAACATTTACTTATAATAAGACAATAACGGTTACTGATCAAAATGGTCTTTATGGCAGGATGTTTTTTTATAATAAGATTGTCAATGTTTCAAAACAGAAAAACTAAAAAATGCTTAAGGATACTATTGTTGGGTCGTCATTCAAAATAATACAAGATGAAGCTTAAGAAACAGAGTCAATGTTGTATATGTAGACTTTGATGCTACTATCCCGATTTGCTCCAAAATATGAACTAGAAGCTATGATCAGGGGGGTAAATTTTTAATTTTGATGACAAATTGACTGAATACTAGAAGTTAGGTACTCTGTTTGCTTGGTAAACTTCCCCAGAAGAAACTTGATAACTTTCGATCTGGTGTATCATTTT